GCTTCTTCATATTAACCCAATCAAGGCATATATCATCAAAATTAAGTAAGTTTTGGAGTGAGACAGTAAATCTCATATATCCCTCCCCACTCTAGCAGCAAATCAAGTCATCAGTGAAATAATTATAAGTTCCTGAGGGTGATGGGCTTAGTTAATATACATTGGAAGAGAGGGGGGGGAGGGAGGGAGGGAGGGGGAGGGAGAGAGAGAGAGAGTGCCTAATCCAATCAGGATTTTAATTAAAATGAAAGATGTCTAACAGGCTTTGAATATTATTCTCTTAAAATTGGTTATTAAAATAAATATATATATATTTCTAATTCCAAACTAATAGTTTTTCTAAAATTTGAATTCAGAGCCATTACATTTTATCTTATTTTTAATTGCCTTGGATAGTATTGAAGTTGCTATTGCTTTTTGATGTTTTGCCATCAGTGAATAGGAGATTTAATAATATCTCCTAAGAAGCGTGTGTGTGTTTGTTCAGACACTGAAATTATGGTCAATTATATACACTTGAAAGTTCTGTATATGCGTATATGGAAATATGCCTTTATTCAATTTACCTGATATTCATTTGCAACAGCAATCTAAATGTCCAATAACATATAAAAATACAGTGGTACCTAGGTACTCATGGTTAATTGGTTCTGGGAGATGTGATGAGTCCCAAACACGATGAGTACCAAACAAATTTTTTCCATAAGGAATAATGTAGTGAATCACAAGGCAGTTGACACCAACACGTTCTAGCTTGTGTATTGAGTATCAAACAAGCGATGAGTTCAAGGACAAAATGCATTGAGTACCAAATTCAATGAGTTTCAAAGAGTACTAAGAGTACCAAAACAATATTTCAAAACCTGTGACAGCAACTAAGATTTAAAAAACAACAACAATCTATAATCAATTCAAATTCAAATCACAACAGGGAGGTTCCAGCAAATTATTCCGTCCCCTGTCTATGTCTTCAAAAGCTTCTGCAAAGCTGACAGTGCCAGGACAATTAGTTCCCAGGGCTACGGTGTTCCAAAGGGCAGGTGCTGTGACAGAAAATACTTGCTTTCTGTGTTTTGCAATAGCATTTTTTTTTAGTCAATGGGACTCTTTGGCACTACTGGATCTAATTAGATAGGTAGAAGCAATCAGAGAGAGGAACTCCCACAAATCACCTGGCCCCATGCCACACAGTTTGAATGCTGACAATCTGTACTTTGAAGTGTACCTACAAGCATCCTGGGGGCCAGTGCTAACCACAAAGCAGAGATATAACAAGTCTGTGCTGCTACATTCTGGATCAGTTGCAAATTCTGGATGCTCTCCAAGGGCATCCCAATGCAGAGCACTTTGTAATTGCAATCACACTTTGTGTCAGAAGCACTTTGGTGCTTCCAGGTTGAAATGATTAGCTGGTGACATCACCATTGCCTGGGAGACGCCTAGTTGGGGGCTCATTTCATGTTGTTGGCAGGAGCTGGAGCAAAGGAAGAGAGCTCGCCCCATGGCAGCAACCTGGTCTTGAATGTGGGCTTGCTAACCTCCAACCCAACGTCCTAATGACGCAAGCCACCATGCTCCTTAAGCACTTTGTAAATAGTCCACTTGGGAGGTGACCAAATCATGGGTTAGCCATGTACAATACATCCTAGTCCAGGAAAGAGTGTGATTTCCAAAATGTAGTTGTGCAATAGCCCTTCTTACAACATTTGCTGCCTGGTTTCTGAACATGAATCTGGGAGGATCTCCAAATTGTGCACTAGTTTGACAATGCACTCCGTTCAGAACTAGAGATGGGTACTTCCTAGTTCCGGGGACAAGTAAAATGTCCTATCAATCAATTTTGGGAGACTAATCCTAGTATGCAAATAACCAATATTGTTATTTATTTAGTGTATGATGAAAACATGACAAAGACAAATAAACATATGCATGCAATCCACATAATTATATACAAAACATCTATGGGGGTACTGCAGTGGCCTCATAAATGGATCTTTCCTCCTCTGTCATGGCTTCATGGCCATGATAAACAGAAGGGTATAACTAATAATGGAAATACTGATTAATATCTGGGAAGGTGACTTAATTCTGTGACAGAATAATGGTGCTCAGATGCCATTGGATGTCTAATTCCAGCTGTCAATAGAATTTTTAGCCTAAATATATTTAGCCTAAATATATTTAGCCTAAAGTATTTTAACATTGGTTTTTTTCTTTTTTTTTCTTTGTAGTAATAAAAAGATTACCTATTTTTTGCCTAGTTCTGAACATTCAGGATTCATTAATGCAATATTTTCATTCTTAGGTAACATTTAATCTTACAGTCATTTAATGTCTTTGCTAATGGACCCCATTTTTATGATTGCTGACACAATAGAGATGCTAGTATTCTATACCTATGGCTCATAGCTATATTATTTTTTACTTTTGTTTTTTTAATCAATGGATGACAATTAAATGACCATTTATAATGTTTGTAATGTTTGCTTATTAATATGTTTGCTAGATTCATGTTGGTTAAGTACTTGGGAACAGAAACATGTTCCTGTAATTTGTCAAGCTTCACTGAGTAATTGCAAGATAGAGCTCCATTTGTGGACAATCAAATGTCAGAATAAATTAAATAAAAATGTTGATAGGAAACTCAGTCTGCAAATACAGCTTTGATCACAGCAATGACCCAGGAGGACGCTTTTTCTAGAATGATGTTTTCAATCTCTCCCACCCCTGAATCTTCACACTGATTTTCTTCTCCTAAATAAATCATACAATAATCTGCACAGCACTTGATTTTCTGCTTTTAGCAGAATTAACAGTTCTTGGATTATATCAGTAAAGATGAATGCAACAATAGGATTTAACCAAGGAAAGGGTTAAATATGTCATCTTTCAAAACACATAATTCTAATATAATTTGGCAAAAACAAAAAAACCAGGTTGGCCTATAGTCCTTTGTAGACTAGCCCAAAATATTACCAACATTTAGTAAGGAGCAGATGGAAACATTTATTTACATCCAGTTCCTTTTTCCATTAGAGATCCAGAGACACTGAGAAAGAGCTGAGATTGCACTGCCTGGTAACATCAACAATCAGGATAAGATTTAAGGGTCTTTATCTACAGATGACCAAAAATTGCAATGTTTTCATATTAAAAGAAAAGTAAAAATGTTCTTGAATAATCCTGGTAAATGCACGCCTATATCCAAGTTGCTTTCTGGACCATAATTGATTTGCTATTACTTTTATTGTTTTTTTTTTTAAATTTCTCTTGTCTCCTGCAAAAGTATCAACCAAGCCAAACTTTGCACAGTTTCTGTTTCTAACAGGATTAAGCAGGTGCTGCACACATGGAGTGAAACTAAATCTGAAATCTGTCCATGGTTTGACTATATGATAATACCTGGCATATTCTGTTCTTTTCTTCAGCTTTGCAGATAGGAATTTCAGGGCTTGTTCATTTGCAAAAGTAGAATATGAGATGGTGACTGGGTAATCTGTTTCTTCACATGGTACTGGACATGTGGAATTATGAGTTCCTACAGTACACAATCCCATGAATTCTATTTTATCTGAAATGGGGAAAAAATAAAAATTACACACACACAGGGAGGGAGAGACACTATATTATCTTTTTTGTGTTTGGTTTATCTTCTTCGATAATAGATGTCTTATCCAATGCAGGATTTTTAACTTAAAGTGAATATTAATTCAATCAATCAGGATAGAACTGGAAGGGACCTTGGAGGTCTTCTAGTCCAGCCCCCTGCTCAAGCAGGAGATTTTATATCATTTCACACAAGTGACAGTCCAGTCTCTTTTTAAAAACCTCCAGTGATGGGTGACCCACAACTTCTGAAGGCAAGCTGTTCCACTGGTTAATTGTCCTCCTTAATTCCAAGTTAGTTTCCATCCATTGTTTCTTGTCCTGCCCTCCGGTGCTTTGGAAAATAAATTGACCCTCTCCACTTTGTGGTAGCCACTCAAATACTGGAATACTGCCAACATGTCCCCTCTAGCCCTTCTATTGCCTAGACTAGCCAAACCCAAATCCTGCTACTGTTCTTCATATGTTTTAGTCTCCAGGCATTTAATAATCTTAGTTGCTCTTCTTTGCACTGTTTCCAAGATCTCAACATCTTTTTTGTAATGTGCTGACCAAAATTGGATGCAGTATTGGATCCAGGTGTGATCTTATTAAGGCTTTATAAGTGGTACTAATACTTGACTTGATTTTGATTCTATGTCTCTGTTGATACAACCAAGGATCGTATTACCTTAATTAATATATAATTAACATATTAAAGTAAAAGTTTATACATGTTTTAAGGAGAAATGTAACTATTTTAGTTATAATTCTTGCCTGTTTCCCACACTTCCTAGAGATGAATAAAACTTGGATTCCAGAAGGGTCCTATTTATTTACAAAGTTAATGTTAGTATTTTTATTTAGTACAGCCAGTTCTAATTTTAAGATGAAAGAATTAAAACTATTTTGAGAAAACTAAGATTGTAATCTATCTGAGTCATTTATGTCAATAAAATATTCACTGATGTCCAAATGCAATGGTTTCCATTTTTATTCTTTGCAACCCAGCAAAACAAAATTAGGTAAAGAGGCTCAAGATTCTTTATGTACATTCTTTATGTTCACCCTGAAAAAAAACTAAATGGAATACAATCATATTTGGTATGATGGTAGAAGCTAGTAAAAATAACAAGCTCCAAAATTTCAATGGATCCTATTTAGGACTATGCAGAAAAACACTCAGAAAAAAACCTGTGCCAATGAAACTGTACAGCAGCTGTACAACTTCTCAGACCAAGTGTCTCATTCTAAATACCTATTCATACTGTTAACAGTATCTGGAACAGAGCATGCAGAGTACACCATGTCCTACACAGTCTATGCATGTACATATGTACACATAGAACATATTACTTTTCACAGAAAAAAATACAGAGGTTTGCCTTGGCCACTGCTGATCAGAGTTAGAAATAATTCAATAAGCCTGCATATTTTCCTTAATTTGTTAATTCCATCAATGTAAATGCCAGACTCTTATTAACTTGTTTTTTTAATCCTTATAATTATGTCTTATGCATTTATGTAATTGTGATAGCATATACTTAGGAAAACCTAATATTACATTCTAATATTACTGAATCTCATAAGATTGGTACAGGAACTCAGATTATATATTATCATTCAGTCAGTGGTCATATTACCATGTCCCTTAATGATCTATCTAAGTCTAATTTGGTACAGCTAGAATGGAATATTTGAACCAGTTTTTAGCTTTGTGATATTTATTGGTTATACTCACACAAAGTAGGAGAAACACAGTTGTAAAATTTCTCCAAGTCACATTCTGTGCCATTTCCTTTTCAACAGGTGCATGGGACAATTGCAGTAAATAAAAATTAGAAATATAAACAAAAGTATGAATAGCACTGTCAATCTTATATTTCCATTAATCTAACAATTCAGTGTTATATCTACTCACAGGACATGTATAACATCTCTTTATATGAGAGAAAGAAAGAAAACAACATTATTTATATTATCCTATTCTATTGATGAATCAAATGGCAATTTCAGCCATTCTTTCCAGTGCTTATATCTCCTTTTAAGTTTTCCCTGAAAGTGGTATACAGAGAAGGTCTATGTGAAGCAAAAATAGTATGTCCACTCTCTCCATAGGAGAGGTATTCTTATACATCACTGTTGCATTGTGATTTGTCACATTTATATATTTCTACTTTGAACCCATTTGAATTTTAATCTAAATGTATTGTAACCTCTGCTTTTGAACATCTTGATAGCTTCTTTTTCTTCCAGTCATGATTCCTACAGTACTATTGGATTCTTTTTAGCCCAGACCCTTTGCAAAATAAGAAGTACATGTGCCAAATTGTACCTGGCAGCAAAAAAGGTAAACATCCACAGTGCTTTTGTATAAGGTGGCCCTTGCATTCTTGCAGACATCCGTATGTGCTGTAGATTTGATGATGCTGAAGCTTAATGTTTGGGTTGCATTCTCCCCAAGGGTATTCTTGGATAATTGTCTGATGTGAAAAAAGGAAGTTTTATTTTGAGAAAATGGCAACAATTTCAGTGGCAAAGCATTGACGAAACAACTTTTAAAAATTAAGCCCAGCAAAGTAATCACTATAAAAGGAACATTTTCAGCACAAATCATCTTCAAATACAAAACATAACAGAATGTACTGTGAATTATATTACTGGGTTGAAATAAATAAAAACATTTAGCCTTATGGCAGAATCAAGGTCCTGTTCCAATGTAACTTTTAAAAATCTTACTTTTCGTATCCCTTTTATCCCCTAACCTTAACCCTAATCTTATTTGTCCCTAATTTTATTCTAAGGCAATTCATTATCAGGACTGAATTTGATTTAACAATGCAGAACAATTATTATTGCAGACTATATTCTAAAGCTTTGTAATCTCTTTCAAACATGTTATAGCTATACAAATCATATATTTTATTATTATTGCTTTAAAATATAAGAAATAAAATAACATTTTACACATCAAATGCTAATACTTACTTTTACCTGTTGGATTGCAGCATGGGCATGCATCCCCACTGGTGTAAAGACACCTAAACCATCAAATCGGGGAGGTTCTTTAGGTGAGTGGATAGCAAAGGTTATGCCAGCATCAACAAAACCAAGATTAGGATCATCAGTGAATTGACCCTAATAAGATTATTTAGAGACAGACATAATAAAATAGATGGGATAAATTCCATGTCAGTGATTTCTTAATTGCTCTCCTGCAAAATGATCTACAGTGTTGGTGAATTAAGATGAAACTGTATTGGTATGAAGTATTGCTATATTATGTAATATGTCATTTTTATTAATTATCCCTCAACCATATTGGTTAAGATTGCTGTTCTATACACACTTACTGTAGGTAAGTGCAATAAGTGCCATTAAGTCTGAGCACTCGTGCATTTTAAATAATTATTTAAATGCTTTTATTACTCTTTCAGTATAAATGCCAATAGTTTTTATTACGGTTACTGACCAAAAGTGCAAACAAAAAGAAATGTAAAACTTTAGGATAATCTTAGGTTTGTGTCCTTGTGACTATCGTATAAATGATCATTCAGATTTGAGTTAAATATCATGGAATCTGGACTGTAACATGAAGTGAGTGATGTTTCAGAATTACTCAAATACAATGAAAACTGACAGGAAATTAAACAATGGAAAATGCCCTGATTAAAAAAATACAAGTTAAAAGCATACAGCCTATTTCTTCTAATACTTGACAACTGCAAGAATACATTCTCTCATCACAAACATCTGGTAGGAACCAAAATGTTATTAGTGCCCCCTGCTCCCAATGCTGACATTCATTTCTCAGTATGTAGAAATTTCCTTAATTTTCCCTACTGCACTTTGAAAGATATTGTATCTTGTATTCTTGCACTTTTGTGTATAGGAATTAATAAGTTACAATCATATTAATGGGTAAGCATTTTTTCTGCCCAAGTGTAACCAAAAACACAACTATTTGATATTTTGTTTCATTCTTTTCCAATGCTTCCTCTAGCACAGGGGTCCCCAACCACCGGGCCCTGGACCGGTACCGGTCCATGGACCATTTTGTACCGGGCCGCCTACTTTGCTTGGGCGCCGCCATCTTGTTTCGACGGCGCTTGAGAAAGTGCTTCCGGGTGAGCTTGTCGGTCGTCGGTTGGATGGAAAGCGGCGTTTGGGTGCTGAAGGAATCCTCACGCCTTAGTTTCGTCGAAGGGGGGGGGGTGGCTTCGACCGAAGAGCCGTCCCGATGGCGGTGGAGTCTCGCATTACTCAGGAGGAGATTAAGAAAGAGCCCGAAAAGCCCATCGACCGCGAGAAGGTACAAAGGAGGAGTTGAAGGTGGCAGGGAGAAGCGGGGGATGGCTGGCTGGCCGGTCGCTCGCTCGCCTTGCCTTGGTCATGCATGCTGATGCTGGTACCGGTCTGTGGATCATTTTTGATGCCGGTACCGGTCCGTGGTACAAAAAAGGTTGGGGGCCACTGCTCTAGCATGCTCAAATCATAAACTTAAAGGTGATCTTTGAAAAGCTCTATGATCAGAATTTAGTCTCTAAGAGTTTGTTATGTATTTGAGTTTCAAAAACAGCATTTTATATATTAAATGTATTTAAATGCATTTTAAATGTATTTTTAAAATTGCATTTGACTAATTCTAAGAGGAGGAGATGAGAATGTAGACTAGACTCGGCTCCACAGAGTACGTAAGCAACTTATCCTGCTGGGTGTTTTTGGGACTTGCTTTTTGGGAGCTCCAGCATATATGAGATTGCAATATTTAGAGGAAGCAATAAACCAGCACATTCAAACTTTGGCAATTCTTAAAGATAGTATAATTAAGTTCAAAACCTTCTGACAAATCCATACAATTTGCCATTCCCCAACCAGTGAAGTTTCAAAAATAGTACATTCATGAGAATATATCTACCTGTTTGACATCAAAAATCAAACTGAGGCCTCTTCCAGAAAGGCTAACTCTTCTTCTTGTAGGAAGGTTAATATGATTAAAAGTAAAGCAGTTCCCATATTCAGTAAAGACATGTGCAAAGTCCTTCCATAAAGAAAAAACAAACAAATGAAAAATAAGAGTTAGCATTTTCTCACAGACATTGTAGGTATTGGGGATTTGCTGTTACCTGTGGCACTTTAGTATCAGTGAATAATAGGTTTGTACTACACAGAGATTTGCAAGTATCTTTCTGATTAAAAAAACCCCCCTAAAGATAGAATTTCAGCTCTGCCTAAAGATCACTGTTAAAAGTAGGCAATCAGGTCTCATTATGCTTAAGCTTGTAGTAAGGTCCCATTGGTGAAATCAATAGATTTTCATTAGGGAACAGAATGCTTTATTTAGCATAAATAAAACCAAATATTAATGAAATACAATATGCTTGTTGACACTGTTATGAGCTTTTAAATCTCAGTAATTATTACCTTTTGACCTTTTTTGATGGATAAGTGGAATTGATTTTTGAATTAAAATTCAGTTTCACTGTGCAAATTAAAAACCTATGGAGTGATTCGCGGATGTATACCTACACCTTATGTATTTGTGAAACACTGAGCAAATTTTTTTCCAACCTTAAGATATATTGAGAGCCAGGATGGTCTGGTTAAAGGCCCCAGGCTAGGAAGTAAGAGACTGAGAGTTTAACTCCCACTTTTGCCATGGGTGACTTTGGACCAGACCCTCTCTTATAGCCCAACCCACCTCACACAGTTGTTGTTGTTGTGAAATAGGATAGTTGATAGATCACCGCCTTGAGTTATTTATAAAAATAATAAAAGTAGTCTATAATTTAAAAAAAACAAACAAAAATATTAGCATCTCTTATCACATTGCATTTGCTTGGTGTGTTACTAACTTTGCATATATAGCCCTTTGCTAAAATATGCATTCTGACAGCCCAATATTCATTCTCTTAGTCTGGTAGGAAACTGCCTCGGTTTTCAGACAATATTTTTTCTGACAATATCGCCTTTCAGATCATTAGATAAAGGCTACATTTATTTCAGCATTTAGCTAATACATTTTTTATAAAAACAAAAATATTACCTTTGGGTGGCATTTTTTCCCAAAAAATTCACAATTCAGCAGCGTGCTGCTGTTGAGATAAAAACCATTAGCTCTTGTAAATTCTTTGATGCTGAAATTTTGATTCCCTTGAAAAAAATCTTGTAGTTCTTGACTAAACTTATCATCAATACTGAACATACGAAGAACTCCTGACACTATGCTCCACAAGAAGAAAACGATGCTCAGGTTAGTTACTGCTTGAGTTTGGAACCTATAAGCATAAATCAGAAATGCAAATATAAGTTCTGAATGCTTGAGTAGCCCAAGACTGTCTATATTTTTTTCCAAAGCAAATATGAATTACACAGAAGTTATTTAATTTTACACTGGGTATAATATTGCAATCTTTAACTCATATAAATGCCTACTATACAATGCTAGAATTGTTAGCCTTAATGGTTGTCCAATTGTGATCTTCAGAGCTTAAAATCTTACAGGACACAAGGAAGAAAATAGTGTCTTACCTGTTCAGATTACAAAACGTTACAGCAGGAAATTCAATCTTCTCCACATATTGAACTACGACTGAGGTTGTCGTGGGCCAACTGAAATAATTGATGAAACGGCAATAAACCTGCCAGGCAACTAGGACAATGGAGCCCAAGACTACTACCATCCATAAGATCTTGCGTGTCTTGCTCTTGGTATGAATAATATTGTGCACCCCATGGAAGGAGGTGGAAGTTGCAAACTCATCGTCATATTTCTTCCTTTCTTCCAAAGATGGTAGAGTCTTTCTTGTGAAATAGAGCCTGGCTTTTTCCAGAATTTCTTAACATTTAACAAATAACAAAAAAGTCCATTCAGAATGAGTTCAGTTGGATAAAGGATATATTAACCCCCACCTTAATAAAAATATAGTATGGTCAATTTTCATTATTCAGTATTTACAGATTACAAATGACAGATTAACAGAGTTGGAAGGGACCTTGTAGGTCATCTGCCTAAGCAGACCCTAATACCATTTCTGATAGATGGCAGTCCAGCCTCTTCTTGAAAGCTTCCAGTGATAAAGCAGTTATTTATTCTTGGCGTCTACATAATTGGCATGCATTTCCAAACAAATATTAAGAAAACAAATAAGAGCAGATTAGACAGAAAGAATCCATGCAAATGTTTTGCCAAAAAAATCAAAATAAATTCTCTGATCACACTAATTTGTCTAAGTATCAACAATAAAGGATGGCATTTTTAATGCAAAAACATAAGTATTCAGATATACTTTCCTATGGATATAGTTGTTGTTCTATTATTTCACTTTTCTTCTTAACAAGCTGCAACCCAAGATGAATCAGATGTAAGTAACATATGATATTTTTCTAAGTATATGAAAAATTGTAACTGCAGTTTACCTGCATATTATACTCAAAATAATTAACTATTCAATATCCTCTCAACAAGAAAAGTGCTTATAATTTTCACTATGTCCATAAAAAAGCGAATAATGCTAAATATAACCAGCTAACTCAGTGTAATAATAATCATAGTGTACCTTTGCCATGAAAGTTCCTTAATTTTCTAAGCTTCTCCATTAGACAAATATTAGAAGATTAGTTTCTAAAACATGGGGAGTTAATTGCTTTTATAATATCAGGAAATGGGTGGGGATTGTATTAAATACACAACAACGTGCAATTAGCCTGTCTCTGTTGCTACTGTCTCTAACACAGATATACACAAACAAGAAAACTAAATGCATGCATTTAAGCATACAAAATATCATTAAGAAGATGAGTAACACTTTTTAAAAACTGTAAATAATATCATAATTAATGAATTAAATGCTAGAATATCAAACAAGGCCATCACAGATTTTGAGTAAAACTCAGTAGTTATGATCAAGCAATAGGTTTTACTTTTTTTTTCTCTTGAAACTTCTTAATGCAATTGAAGAGAAGACTCTGTGTGATTTCACTGCATTATCTGACAGCCTTTCCTGTGAAAGCAGAATGCTCAGTTGTTAAAATTAATGTCTAGATTAGCAATTTGATTCACGCATTATTCTTCACAAAGGACCCATGTCACAGTTCTACCAAAAAATCAGTAGAGTTTAATGTTTTGAAGTAATTTCCATGTATTCTGATGAAGTTACAAATCTACTCATAAACATGTGCAGTAATACAGTGTGTAAAATCCAGCTGGGAGAAAACGCGTAGCTAATCTGAATAGAGTTGTGATGTTTTGCATAAACAGGGCTGTTTATTATACAACAGGAAACCTGCCAGTATGCAGTGATATCACAATTGCTCTTCTTAATTTACAAAATAAACATGGGAAGGTGAGAGGAGCATTGCATTCAAAAATTATGAAAATTCCTAATATCTGTAATTGGTTAAAATTCATGCTGAAGATTACAACTTAATGAAATTAATGAATGATAGACTATCATTACTATTTACTAATAAACTCAGTTGTAAATAATAAGTAAATCCTTTCAATTTACTTATGAAATTTCACAAAGCTCAAACAATTAATTGAAGATGAAAATTCATGAACATGAATAACACTAGAGGGAGCTCAGTAACTGCCCATTGGAATTTCACATGTGTAGCTTCATTCTGGGACACTCCAAATGAGATGGTGATAATTTACATAATTCTGTGGAATAGTCATTATTTGCATTAAATGTATCTGTACTGGAATCAGGATGGTGATGGGTAAACCCCCTTTCAAAATAATAGAGGAAAGATGTGGATTTGGTAGCTGGCACCAGCTCGGTTGATTTACTGTCTATGATCTTCTCTGAATAGCTCAGCTTATCTTCATATCTTAACTACTTTTAACTGAAATAGAGATAGCCGTTAAGTTAGCCTTTGTCAAAATGACACATACCCATATATGATTCCATTCTATTTTATTTAATTCAATTAATTAATATTGAAATTAATTAAATTATCTGTCCAATTTAGCTTAAGCTTTAGCTTTGTATATTTACTTTCTTTAGCTTTAGCTTTGTATATATTTGTTAATGTCATTAACTGTTTGCAGTTATGAAATATAGCAGCATGCAAAAAAGATAAATACATAATTTCTCAACAAATAATTTAAAAATCAAACAGCATCAACCAAATGACTTCTTCCTCTGCCTCAAATTTCCATGGTTTTAATGTACATTATTAATAGTCACTTATGTGACTATTCCATGTATTTTGTCTGCCTGGAGAAAAAAAAGGCAGAAGAAGTAGCGTGGGAATAATTGCAAATAATGTCATAGTGAACAGGCATTGTTGTAAGAAAGCATAGAACAAGGTGTGAATTGAGTATTTTTAAAAATCCATTTGTGGCTTTTGCTCAAAGACTCAGAGGATTTATAAAAATACATGTTTGCAACTTCTGTTTTTCACTTTCTTGTTATTTACTAGCTGTTAAATTAGAAGAAGAGCAAGCAAAGGAAACAATGATAGCATGGGTGAAAAATATTGGATATACCGTAGAATTAGATAAATGGTGGAAGCTATGGGAAAGAAATTATAATTTAACAATATCAACAGCATATAAAGAAAATTTGTGCAAGATGTTTTATAGATGACACTTTGCACCAGCAAAACTGGCAAAGATGTTTAAAGACAAATCAGCCAAATGCTGGAAGTGCCATCAGACACCCAGAACATATTACCATATGTGGTAGACATGCGTAGAAGCTAAAAAATATTGGAAAAAAGTACACACATGGTTGGAAAAAATGATAAAGCAACATATAGATTTGAAACCTGAAATATTTTTTATTAGGGATGGTACCTGAATGTTATAGAAAAGAAGAAATATATTTAATTATTCATCTACTAACAGTAGCTAGGATTGTATTTGCTCAGAATTGGAAAAGCGATAAAATACCAGCAGAAGGAAAAGTGATTGAGAAAATACTTGAATGTGCAGAGATGGATAGATTAACACTGGCAATTAAAGAAAAAGAAGAAACTAAATATTAGATGGTATGGGATCTATTTTTGACCAATGGTTGGAAAATAAAACAAGTTAAAATTGAGTAGAGGAACATATAGAGAAATAAGTTAAGACTGTTATAAAGATAATAGATATAAGAGACAATGGCTATAAAGAAAATGTGATCATTGTTATATTGGTAAGAAAAGTACTAATTATAATTGTTAGCACCAGACATATGTACCCAGTTGACATGCTGTTTACATGAAAGATGGATTTATTGTAAATATAAAATAAAAAAACTTTACAAAAAAAAACACTATTTACATGTGACTTCCACAAGATCAGCCTAGACTACTTGGGGTCCAAAGATGGGGTGGAATTTGATCTGAGCAAGGTTATAGCAATCCTGGAATGTGAGGCTCCTCAGTCCAGGAGGCTTCTGGGGCTTTGCTAAATTTACTGGCAGTTCAGCCCCATGTTTGCCCAGATAGTCCTTGTGGCGTTCGCAATAGACTAAGCCAAAGTCTTCACTCCGGTCCATGTTTCCAGCAGGAACACGGACCGTTCCTATTGGCTGATGCTATTTGACAGCCGGCTATAAAAGGGAGCTGTCAAACGGCATCAGCTGTTGTCCGCCAGCTGGCTGCCTTGTTAGCGTGGCAGCCACGGCAACCCTTTATTGTTTCAATAAATTAACAGCTGAAGTTCGCTCCGAGTTTGCCTCAGGTTTTTCCGCCGCTCTACAACAGTCCTGCCCATCACCAACTAGCTCAAGACATGAAAGGAGTTCGTGTCCAAATTGAATCGATAACTAAATTGGTCCATCAAATGCCAAGTAGCCTTCGAAAAGCTGAAGCAGCTCTTCGCTGCTGAGCCGATATGAACCAAGATTTGTGATCCAGGCAGATGCCAGTGATGTGGCAGTAGAGGCAGTTTTACTTCAGAGGAATGAAAAGGGAAAGTTGCAACCATGTGCCTACACATCTCGCAAGTTGTCTAATGCTGAGAAGGCAGTAGGCCATCTGGGAGAAGGAGACGTATGCGGTCCAATAGACTCTTCTGACCTGGAGGCAGTTCTTAACAGTAAGATTCCCTTTGAAATGTAGACAGACCACAAATCCTGGAGGCATTAAAGGCCCTGAGGAAGCTATCCTCTAAGCAGGTCCGATGGGCTCGGTATTTTAATCACTTCAATTTCACTCTTTGAAACTAGGGTGGGAAGAATTTCTTAGTCGATGTCCTCTCTCATATGCCCCAGTACAGAAGTACTGAGAGGGCATAGTTAACTCCATTTCCCCATCCAAGCAGCTCACAGTGCTCAGCATTCACGAGGCAACAGGGAACAGTCACCCTGCACCCGGCTGGGGATTCAGTGATGCAACCATTAAAAGATGCATTGGGGACGGGTGAATGGTTCCAGAGTCATAAAGATGATGAAGGAAGGCTTGGTGTGGAAGGGGACTAAAGTGTACATCCTAGCCAGTCAGAGAACCTTCATCCTGCAGAGGAGCCATGATGCAAAATCCTTAGGGCATTTTGGGTTTGTGAAAATCCTTTACTTGGTGAGGAGACAGTTCTGGTGGCCAAAGATGAAAAAGGACATAGAAGCCTATGTGGCCAATTGTCCTGTATGTTTCTCCATTAAATGGGAAGCCTCCCAGCTTCCTACAGTTGGTAGCCAACCCAACTAGTCCATGGGAGATAATATCGATGGACTTTATTGTGGACTTGCCTGAGAATGTTGGGAGCACAATAATTTGGACTGTCATTGACCTGTTCTCAAATCAAGCACACTTTGTGATGTGTCCAAAGATTCCTTCTTCCTGGACTCTATCCAAGAAATTTGTACAACACATCCAAGGGTGGGATTCTACAGGTTTGCACCTATTCGCTAGAACTGGTTGTTAACATTCTAAGCAGTTCAGAGAACCGGTTGTTAGAAGAAATTACTGGCCTAATCCTGTAAGGAAGGCAGGAAGGAAACATTCTGGTGTTGCTTACAGAAACTGCCTCTCCGTTAACCCTTTTTACATTCTTGGCAGGGCTAGACTTCCTGTCTCTGGAACGTCTCTGGAGTTTTCCCCCCCTCCTTTGCTGGTACTTTGCTTGTGTGGAGTGACCATTCAAAGTTACAATGGCACTGAAAAAAGTGACTTATGACTATTTTCACACTTACGACTGTTGCAGCATCCCCACAGTCATGAAAGGCCAGGCGAGGAGATGCATGCCTCGATGTGAGTGATTTTGAACACGCCCAGCCAGTCAAATTACCACCAAGCCACGCTCACCAACTAAGCCATGCCCACAGAACCGGTTGTTAAAAAAATTGAATCCCACCCCTGAACACATCTACAGACTACATAGGATCTAGAAGGCTTTCCTCTGCTGTTTGGATCTCTGTAGAGAGGAAGTGATCTATAACATATATTGCAATTCCACCTCCTCTTTTATTAGCTCTGTTTCTTTTGAATAGTTTCTATCCTTCTATCAGTACATTCCAGTCATGAATTTCATCCCACCAAGTTTCTGTAATGGCAACTATATCATACACACCTTTCAAGTTCACTCTATTTGTTCCCTAAATTTTGACCATTAGTGTATATGCATTTAAATTTTGTACAGCTGATTCTGGGTATGCTCCTATATGTCCTACTTTGAGTTTTTCTTCTTTCTCATTTCTCCTTACCTCGTTATTTGATTGGTTGTTCAGTGTTTTTTTGCTTGGAATTAGATCTTAAAGTTTGTGGCCCACTTCAATTTTATTTTAAAGTCCTTCTAAGAAGATGAGACAGTTGTTTTCCAAATATATTCTTTCCAGTTCTTATGAGGGGCAGTCTATCCCTTGCCAGGAGTTCTTCATGTAAGTAATATAGATCGAGGAATGTAGCTCTAGGAAAGCAATGTTCTCTTGACGACACAAATTTTTAAGTCAGTGGTTTGTTTCTAAAAACCTTTGCTCTCTCATTGGACATTGGCCTTTTGCTGTAAGTATAAATGAAAACACCACTTGTGCCCCTAATTCCTTAACTTTCTTCCCTAGCTGTTTCTAATCTCATGTTATGGTTTTCAGGTTCATTGTTATGTCATTTGTCCCCATTTGTAGGAGAAGAAAGGGGTCTCCATGTGGTCGATTATTTTAGTAAGTTTCTCAGGTACATCGTTGACTTTTTTGCTCTAGGGGGACAGCAAACCTGCCTATAAAGATACCCCTTTCTTCTGCTACATGATTGAATGCCCTTTCTTCTCCTTGAAATGTCATTTCTTGTCCTATGCCATTGAATGTCCAGTCTGCAGGTTATAGTTTCTGATACCACAGTATAAAGACCCTTTGAAAAAAGAAGAAGCCAAGGATAATCTTTCAGAATGTCTTCTGTAGCTAATGCTTTTACTATGCAATTTTTTGAACCTTGTCCTTTATTCCTCCCACTGAAAATGAGTATGTGATTGGATTAGTAATATTGCATCAACTGTTATCCATATTTGCTTAACCTTCAGTTATTTGATCTCTCATTTACTTAAAGCAGCTATTAATTGTAAATGGAGGTTAAATGTAAAAGGCAATGTGTGAGAGGAAATTACAAAATATGCAAGGATCACAGGAAGTGTGTGCAAGTGTGGGCGTGCACCCACCCACCCACGTATACACAGAGTATACACAGAGTATACACTCTGTGTATACACAGAGATACTAATGCATATTTCTATGCATTCAAGATAAGATATCTGATTAAAACCCTCTGTAAGTCCCACATGATTTTTATTTACAATATTTTGCTCAACATGAAAAACAACAAAAGAGATTTTGGCAAGATACATCCCAACCCCACCAAAATTGCCAGTTCAGGCTACCCATAACTATTTCAGTGCAGAATTAAACTACTTGGTCTTCTAAACATTCCCAGCACATTCCAACAGCACCCCATACTAATGTTTCAAAGCTCTGTTTCTAAA